CTTGGAAGAAGAAAATAGAAGAATGAATGAATATGATGATAATTTGATTCTTTGTTGTCGTGAATTTATTTCTTTGTTATTTTAAATTTATATTAAAAAATTATAAATTAATTTTATTAAATTGGACCAACTAGTGGTGGAAGTTTGAGTTTAATTTAAATTTAAATTGCATTTTTTAATGAAAGATTAAGTAATTCTTGAAATGTTCTTTAATTATACAATTATTTATTGTAGGTAATTGGTGGGATATATATATATATATATATATATATATATATATAATTTAACTATGCCAACAATGAGAGAAGATGGAGAGGGAATTGACTTCTGATTATATATTTTATTTCTGAAAGACTTTTGATTAATTAAATTATATATAATATATATATATATATATATATGAATATTCTTTAATTGTATTCGGATATTCCTTGTCCTAAATCTATATGAATCAAATTATATAACGAGCTTAGAATTTAGAATGTGAAACGGTCTTGTATTGCCTACAACAATTATGCTACAAATTAAATTAATTAACCGATTAATATACGTACTGTTTGTATATACAATTATATTCATGATGAGTTAAGCCCACATATTGATATATATATATATATATTAGACATACATAGATGGGTCATGTACGGCAATGTGATGTGATGTTGGGTATATGTTTACACTACATTATATGTACGTATATATAGATAAATACACACATATAGATATATAAGTTAATTTCTTTCCTGAGCTGCCTAAGCTTTTACCCACAAACACAAGAAGAAAGAAAAAAATCACTCTTCGTTATTTCCTTTAGAATCAAAACTATATCGGATCTGTTTTCCCCGTGTGCATATACACATACACATATGTATATGTGTTAATATATATATATATGTATATGTAGATGTGGGTGTGATAAATGGAGACAAGCAACAGAGGTGAAGTAGTGTACGACGCTTACGAGGCGATGATTTCGAGCGAGATCGAGGAGGAATCTGCGAGTTACGGAGTGGGTGGAGCGACGATGGACGTGATCGAAGAAGAAGCTTTTGAAGGTATGAGTGAGTTTTCTAACGGCGGCGGAGGAGACGACGTCGTTTATGTGGCGGTGGGAAAGAGCGAGTCGAGCATGGATGCTCTTTCATGGACGCTCAACCATCTTATCAGAACTTCCTCCACCATCGTCTACCTCCTCCACATCTTCCCTGAAACTCATCACATTCCAACTCCCTGTAAGCTTCTTCTTTTCCTTTTTTTTTTTTGGATTTGAATAAAATGCATTTACGAGATTATAATTATCTTTTCATGTTCTTGAATTTCTCTGCTTTGTTCTTGTCGTCGGGTTAGGTGGGTAGTGGTCAAACTGGCTTGCTTGCTAGGCTATATATATAAACTAGGTATATTAAAATTAAAAAAAAAAATAGGGTTATCATATAGCAATTATATTAATTCAAGAAATGCATCTCTCTCTCTCTATCTATATATATATATATATATATGTATCTTGGTGGAATATGAAAAAGAAAGTGGCGGTGAAAACAGTGGGAAAGCTTCCCAAAAGTCAAGTAAGTCCACAACAAGTGCAGAATTACTTGACCCAAGAAAGAGGCAAGAGAACCCAACTCCTTCAAAAGTTCATCAATGCCTGCTCTGCCTCCAAGGTACAACTTTATTGTTTATATATATATATATATATATATTATTTACACAATACAAATGAAACAGGTGAAGGTAGACACCATCTTAATCGAGAGTGATCTGGTTGCCAAGGCCATTCTTGACCTCATACCTATTCTTAACATAAGAAAGCTGGTTCTTGGAACTACCAAATCTACTTTGAGGTTAACTTCAAATTTTCCCATTGATTTTCTTCAAATAATATTTTTTTTGTAATTTGTGAAATTTTTCTTTATTCATTTTTTCTGGTAATGAGTAAGAAAATTGAGGTCGAGAAGAGGAATTGGAATAGCTGATCAGGTACTGCAAGGTGCATTGGAGTCATGTGAGATCAAAATCATATGTGAAGGAAAAGAAGAGATGATTTCTTCATCCTCTCCAATTACACCCTGTGATGATTCCAAACCTACTCAAGATCAACGATTACAAGACCAACGTCAAGATCAAGATAACAGTCAACCCACAGACTCTTTTTCGTGTATGTGCTTCAAATCTAAGACACGTTAAATATATGTAGTTACTGTCTACCACACAAATTGATGAAGAAAACTCGATTACGAAAGCATTAAATTGCATCGGTTGGCCAGGAAAGTTCAGTCGAGAAAGCGTCAAATTGAAGATACGAAAGTTTGTGTGTTATTATTTTATTGCATATAAATCTATAAGTCAATGAAAGAAATTACTATGTATCATCATTTATTAATGGATATTTTTGTTAAACTTCTTACTTTCACAATCTTTTAGAGCAATTTATTTATATATTTTACAATATGTAATAACATGTGTGTATATTTATATATTATGTGTATTTATATGTTATGTATATGTAGGCATCTAATGAATAGATCTTATTCGAAGCCCATCAGACTGATCCGGCCCACACTCGGCCCAAAATGAAGCCCAATTATCCAGCACAGAACCCGAACCGATAACCAGAAAAACGGAAGGTGAAACAAGTAGAGACGCCAAAATCAGAAACCAGAGGAGTAGAAAGCGGAGCAAGAGGATAAGAGGGAAACAGTCTTTGTTTCGGAGGAATTTGAGGAGTTTGCGGGAAAAAAGAACGGGAAAAAACTAGATTCCAGTGAGTTATTGGGAGCTTTTTGAACCTTCTTCAAGTTTTAGAACTGAGTAGCTGGGAGTGCGGCATAAATATTCGTCGATCGTCTTGGATTTGTAGCTTGACTTCCACGATTAGGTAAGGGCTTGTTAATTCTACGTAACTATCAATGTTGTCAAATGGTTAACGTGAGGTTTTGATTGCTAATGTGGAAAGCGTAAGAAATGTAAGTTCGTTTAGTGGAAGATTGTCGATATTTTGGTTCATCAGTTTCTTCCCTGTGCATTATTACGGGTCGCAGTCTGATTGATGTGTGTTTATTTAATGCATGTTGCATGTTTGATGAAATGCCCCAAAGAGTGTAAAATATGATTATTTTTTTTTTTTGTGAAAATAGAAGCTGCGGATTGTCTTGATGTCTGTGTAAACTGTTTTGTTTAAGGTGCTAGATTCGGTGAATTCTCTTTCCGCCATTCCTCTACCAGACATGAAGTTTAATCTTTTAATCTTCTTATTCTCATCTCCAAATTTATCTGGGTCCTTGGAAATGATTGATGAAAGTGCATGATTTATATCCTGCTTTAGGGCTTTTAAGTAGCACTTACTCTGATCTGTTGAGGTCATAGTTCGCATAAGAAAAAATGGAAAAGAAATAGATTATGAATATATGATGACAAGATCATGGCAGGTTGGTGTTAAAGAAAATGCATGTGCAAAAAGAATATTTGAGTAAAACGATGTGAAGTAGTCATATGCTTTTGACACCATGAATATGCATGCGTGTGATATATTTTGCTGGCTATCATGGTTAAGGTCGAAAATGTTGCTTTAAGGTTGACTGTTACAGGCTGCCTTGATATCAGTATGCTAGCCTTCGTTGACACTACTTGAACCTAGCTCTGGTTCTTTGCTCGTAATTAATAGTATTTTATGGAAATTTGAACTCATAAACAGGTAGCCAAGTGCTGGTTCTTTGCTAGTTAAGATGGGAAGTAGAGCTCTGCTTGTGCTCAAAGCTGCTTCTACGCCTAACTGTCATATCTTCCATCCCAAAATCAAAACCAGAGGCCTCGGCTTCTCTTCATCAACATTCCACTTTTTCTTTAAGTACAGTTTTAGAAATTGCTCATCAACAACAAGAAGGTATTCTCTTCAACCGCCAGATGTGCCCTGTCTAGCTGAAACTGCAAGAATTTCTCTTAACCCAAATGAGGTATTCATGCACTTACATTTATATACTAACAGCCAATCTCGAATTCTTTTTCTCCTTCTTTGTTTTTCATGTTATCGACTTTATTGGATTTTTTTTTTAGATGGTTCCATTTTTTTTTTCCTTTTCACCGCAGGTGGAAGAATTCGCTCCCAAAATTCGACAGGTTGTTGACTGGTACTTCCAAGAAGAAACCCAGTTGTCAATACTCTTTAAAGATCCTTTCTTTTTGCTTTTCCAAATAAAGAAAATTTCTTTTTTCTTAAACTTAACTGTCAGCATTATGACACTGCCCCTTCTTGGTTCAACACAAGACTAATATTGTCTCTTGCAGGTTTGGTCAACTTCAAGCAGTTGATCTTAGCAGTGTTGAGCCCGCCATTAGAGCAGGTGCAAATATGGAATCTCCCTTATATTTAGTATCATTTAATTGCCAAATAATTTAGCGTTAGCTAAATTATTAGTTGTCACATGCTTCACAAACGTTGTTGTGGCTGCATCTAAATCTGCTCATAGACTTAAAGCACTGAAATTCCCCCTTGAAGGTAACATTTTGAATTTTTAGTTGGCGAGAATTCAACATTCATATTGAAAGAATTAAATCTTATCTTCAAGAATTCAATTCGACGTGAGTCATGATAACTAAAACACTTGCAACTTGAGTCATCATAACTAAAACACTTGCAAAATATGTTCTCTTTTATCCATATTAAGATTAATATGAGAATTGAAAGCAGGAATAAATGATATTTGAATAAGAATTGAGCCAAATGCATCATAAGGGGCATAGCTATAAGGGATTTTAGATGACTCAAGTTTGAAAGAACAAGGCTTTTTGTCTTTGTTCTTTCTGAAGGAAGAAGGGTTTACTTTTTCTCTTTGGTTCAATTTTAGTTAGGTAAGTAGCTTGGCTTGCAGAAGTGTTCCTTGCCTGAGGGTTTCTATTTTTTTCTCCTTTTCTTCTGTGTAGTTTAATTACTATCTTCTTACTTAGGTTGATGGGTTCTATATTTACCAGAAAACTATTGCTGGTCTATTTTTACCACGAGATATGAAACAAAGCCGTAAACATGACAGAAGTTGACGTTGATTGCTGCATGTTATCGTTCTATCTTTCTCTTTTCATAAATCAGTATTGAAAGCCAACCTTAGGCTTTGTGGTTTAAGGAATAAATGGGATTCATATGTTAATTTTTATGCCGCATACCTGGAGATAGCTCTAACATGTGTTGCTCTGCAATTTCAGACACCGAGGGCGATAATTTCCGTGGTGATCTTCCTGAAACATTTGAGAACAGGTGAGATTATTTTAAACTCAAACACCTGCTAGTTCGAATGTTCACAAGCATTTATGTTTTGGTTGATTTATTTCTCAACAGGGAGGCCATGGTAGCTTCTGTTCCAAGTTACGAAGAGCCTTATATTAAAGTTCCAAAAGTGTTGAATAAAGAGTGACCTACTTGGATAAGGTACGTTCATGAACTAAAAAACACAAAGATAAAGAATAGATAGTGGATTAATTTTATCAAATAACAGACAGTTTTTGAAGGCTCACACATTTAGAATTTTATATCAGTAACCAAGTGATCTCGATAGATCATTATTGTTTACTTTCAACTTTTTAATGCTCTCCGGAAATTCCGATTTTGGGTAAGACTTGATCTGAATTGTAGCTGAGATACAAGTTGGTTCAAGGAAGGGCTTCAGAGAAAAGATATTGCAGCAGTTTAAAAGAACAGTCACCTTTGCCACCGGAAGAAGGTAAAATCATTGCTGGGGGACTTGGGGGGATCGTGTTAGGAAAAGAGTCTTTTGTAATGTGTTGGTTGTTTTTCTGCATTGAGATTGAATCAAACGTGTATTGAATTGCATACATAATGCACAAAATTTTTGGAGAGGAATTCAATCCCCCATTCAGTCTCTTGTTTCTTTTTATTTATTTTTGGACAAATTACTTTCCAAAATTTGATATTTATAACAATTTGCTCTTATTAATTTGATTTATAATATTTTTCATTTGTTTTGTGTGTTTATTTATTTTTATTCATAACCATATTTTAATTTTTTTAATCGAAGAAAATTAAACATTTGAAACAAATGAATAAACGTGTGAATCAAATTATAATAAAAAATATTAATAATAATTATATTATAACAAGTGATAAAATTTTTAAAATTAATTTGATAATATGCACTTTTTTTTTACTGAAATATTTTTGTTAGAAATTACAAATTTTTGTATTTTTTTTTTCTAGTTTTAGTTATTTTATTAAAGTTTAAACTTACAAGCACATTTTGACACATCTAATTATTTTTATTTTTATTTAACTATTAAAATTTTATATAAAAATAATAATTATTTATATAATTTTATTTTATTTTAATAAAAAAATAAAAAATTGATTAAAAATTAAATTAAAAATAATTAAAAAATAAAAAACTGAGAATCAAAACGTAATTTAAAAAAATGTATAAATCAAATAAAATTTCATTAAGTAGCTCAGAAGCCCCACAAAAAAAAAAAAAGGAACAATTTGAGCTACTCATACAGCTCAAATTTATAACCTTACTGAGTCATCTTACAGAAAAAAAAAATCTTGGCAACTGTCAACAAAGACAGCTGCAAAATGAATGAATTGATTTTATAAGAGTTAGATTTATATGTATATCTATCTATAAGCATAGAGTTACATGTTTATTGATTTTATTCCCAGTACAGCTGAGAAAACCCTTTTCATCTCTGAAACAGGATCCCCAACAACTCCAAACTTCTTCACTCTCCATGCAATATGTTGATCGGGCCTGACTAAAATTGCTCCTTTGTGTGTCATCTTATGCACAGTCCACCACGATGGTGATGATGAACTTGATGCTCTGGGAATTTCCACAGCATCTACGTAATTGTCCCAAGGTGCCAATGCTGCCTTGCTGTCTCTCTCAGTTCCAGTTACGGTGCCATCCCCCCACAGGACACATACCTTTAGACAAGCTTTAAATTCCTTGGCCAACTTGAACGTGGAACGAGCAAGACGATATGACTCCTCCCCTGGTGCTATAATCAGAAGGAACTCAACCTTTTCTCCGGACACAATATCCAGTGTGGAAATAACCTCCTAAAGAAAGAGATTTGATGAAATGAAAAACAAAGAAGATGGATAGAGTAGCCGGAAATTTCTTGTAAAGTAGGATACTCAACAAACAGTAGTTTTAATAGAGAGCTCCTAGAGTGTTGGAATTCAACAGAGACAAGCTTGGAGATACGTATTATCTGCTTTGAAATGTAAAGTAAATACCGAACTATCTACCTCGCTTGACGAATTTGACAATGCTCGGACATACATGTGAGGCAGCCTTGATCCTGGATCTGCAGAAGGCACATAGTCTCTCCGACGTCCAGTAGGCAGTCCTAGATTATCATCCACTGCACCATCATTGTCAGGAACAAGTGCTCCATCGAGATACCTAAGAAACTAACTAGATCAATTCAAGTTTGAGATTCACAGAATTTCCTGATCAGGGTCCGTTAAATTCCTGATCAGGGTTATTAAGCAGTAACCTAATGATGTTGTTTGAGCATATCAGCTCAATAACTTAGAAGTATATATCTGAAGTTCAAAAGATTGAGATTTAAGCAAATGCAATGCACGAATGTGGGAAAATGCTTAACCTAATGGGTGATACCTGAAGCCAAGGTCCTCCGCAGGAAACTGAAGTTGAAGGCTTTTTCCTTCCTCAAATATATGCCTGAGTCTGGCAAGCCTTGAAGATCCAAGTAGGCTCTTCTCATTAAGAACAGATTCTGAGAGCTGGGCACGGCCTATTGTGAAGATTCCATCTAAGATTGCCTTCTGTAGCCCAGAAGGTAAAACGGAACCAACTACATTATTAATAACTCTATGAACTGCAACACCAAGAAAAGAAATTTCCCTGTCAGGCTAATGAAAACCAGCATAGAGTGTTGAAACTAACAATAGCCACCTAAGCAGACAATCAATGGAGAAATGAAGAAATGGTTAATGTAGAAAAGTTTGATGTGATCACCTGAATTTGCAATAGTTGGATCTAGACCAAGGGCAGCAGGAACTGACATGGCTGCCTTGAAGTTCTGAACACTAAGTGACGTATTGAAAATGGCAATCTGAAGAAGACGAACACTGGATCTTAATGATTAAACTTCTTCGAGAAGAAAAAGATAACTGGGAACAAAGTTAGGAAAGATAAAACCAGTACCGGCCTACGTTCAGTTTCATACGTCTCGAGTAGTGAAGATTGTGCAATACCCTTTACAAAAGCAGCTATCTTCCAGGCAAGATTGTGAGCATCCTGGATCCCAGTGTTCATTCCTGCAGGAATGATGTAGAATTTTCAAAATGAATTTTTTCCAAAACCCACGGTTCAAACTGTCGAGTTGAAAACAAATTTTTGTCCCACAAGCTAGATATGCCTTAATGGTCTGCATAAAAGAGACAACTTACCGAAGCCACCAGCAGGAGGGAATCGATGAGCAGCATCACCAACAAGAAATATTCTATCGTCATGGGATACGAATTTCTCCGAAACTTCAGCATGCATAACCCATGGCTTTATGTCAATCACATCTAAGTCTGAAAGCTCTTGGCCAACCAATCTGACTATTAACTTCTTGCATATCTACAGGCAGTTATATCCTTCAAAGAGGCTGTTACATATGAGAAAGAAGATATGCTAGTCTACATACTGGACTTATAATTATGCATCAAAACTGCCTATAGGTATAGGGTTTCACATTCTTCAAATCTGGATATTCTCCTCTAATTTGACCATTTACGTGAAAATGTCTAGGAATTAATCAAACTATCTCTGTCATAAACTGAAACATACCGCAGGAGTGAAGTCCTCGAGATTTTGCTGTGGTGGATAAAATGGCATCTACAAGTTTACAAGCATTAACTAAAGGTGAGTATCCGGGGTAAAACTTTTATCACTATAAGGATATTTTAAAAATCATATAGAAATTAAGCAACACCTGCAATACAAATTCTCCTTGCTCGAGATCATGAGCAACGACAACCCCAATAGCTTCAGTGTTGAAAATGAAAAATAGCATACCGGGCCTATTATTAAGCAGGTACTGTCCCAGGTCTCTGCTAAAGAAATGAACACTAACAAGCCTTTGCAATTCCTTTTCACCTCTCATATTTATTCCAGCAATCTTCCGTATAGTACTTCCGGCACCATCAGCACCAATAAGCATACTGCACCGGATATTTCTTTCAATAATCTTGCCATCCTTGAGAAAAGAAACAGTTGCAGTAATGCAATGATCCGTGGCAGCAAAAGATACACATTCATGCCCCATTAGTATTTCTCTTCCCCTAAGTGAGCCACAGCTAAGACTTTCCAAAGCTTCAGATGGTTGAAGATCAAAGTTGAGATCTTTCAATCTTTTAAATAGTAACCTTGTTAGTTTATGTTGAGAGAAGTGTGCAACAGAGACTGGGCTGATAATTTTTTCAAAATCTGGTAATAACAAGAGAATAAAAAGAACCCTAACATCATCAAACATAAAAAACCTCACAAAAACTCCACATCATATAGTTTGTATGAATGAATTTTCTTGGGTCTAGCATTCAAATCCGGGAATCCTATCCATAATCAGTCAGGCTGAGTTGTAAACCTCAGAAATGGGGAAGTTAAGTGTAAATCATACCTTGAGGCTGCATGTGATCCACTGAGCCTAAAATAGACCCAGAGAGAGAAGTACAATATATGAACTTTCTCCATAAATCTACAGGTGGTTGGCACTTTTCAATCTCCTCCGCCAACCCATCTAGCTTACGAAATATCTACCAGTCAAAAATAAGAAGAAAAAAAAAATATGAAGCCTGGAGTTTCTTTTCCAGAAACCGAATGTAAAGAGAAAGAAACGAACCTCCATAGAACGGTTGTTGATGAAATGTGCCTGTGGGTGTTCAGAGAACGTCACTTTCTTCTCCAGAACAGAACATTTGACCCCTACAAAGTACAACAAAGAGGCGATATGTCAATCACTGCAATAAGCTACCCACAAAGCTTTCTTAAACCCAGAAAAAACCAGAATAAAATTGTCGTGTTCGGTAAGAAAAAATTAAGACTTGAGTGAAGAAAAGGACCTAACTTGGTGAGAAGAATAGAGAGCACGAGTCCAACAGGTCCTGCGCCGACAATCAAAACGGGAAGCACTGTATCATCGGCATTGAAAAGCTTAGATTCTGAAAAGGGTCTGCTTAAAAATGGGTACGATAATGCTTTGATTCTCGTTTTGGTGGTCGTGATGGCATTAAATCCTCTGGTAAACCTTAAAATCCCCATGATAAAAAGAACAGATATGTATGGAAAGAAGAAGAATTCAAGAGAACAAATTATTGGGGTCGTAGTTCTCGAGCATGAAAAGAAAAAGTCTATGGCTTTTTCAGTGCAGAAGAAGGGAAGTGGTGAAATACACAGACAGAAAAAAAAGGCAAAAAAAAAAAAAAATTATTTGGGGTCGGTCTGCTACTCTTCTCCTGGCAGCAACCGAGGAAGAAGAAGAAGAAGGTTTTCCTGTTATTTGCGGTTGGTGTTTAATCTTTGTAAAGACTTAAAACTTGGGTTTCTAAATGCTTTTCAAGTAACAAGTACACAATGTTCTTCCAAAAAATGTATTTATTAAATTTGTTTTATCAATATTTTTATTCAGAAATTTCAATAAATAATTTTTATTTTTTGTGTATAGTATAAGTATATAATGCTTATAAATCACAATATTATACTAATGTTTATTAACACATGTATTATTTAGAAATCTTGTTTGCATATCAAAATTATGTATTTTCCGCGCCTTTATGATCGATAAAATACAAATTTTATGTGCATTATTGCCTATGTTATTAGGATTCTTTTACTATTTCGATCAAAATGTGCTGTAAAAATTACTACTTTCTTTCCAACTTCAAGTTATGTTTTTGCTAGAATTGGTAGGTTAAAATTTGAATCAATATTTAAAAATATTGTTAAATAAGCTCTATATAAACTCATCAGGCCATGGGTATCA